GAAGAGCGTGTGGATTCAACATCAGTGGAGAAACACGCCACAAAAAGTTAGTTACTCAGTTCACAGGGGACAGTTCTCGGAAAAGACTCGCTTTCCTTACGTTAGTTTCCTGTAAGACTGCAGCTCAAATGAGATTTTTGCAAGGACTGAATCCTCTTGAAGCAAGTAACCGCCCTTTATTCCACAGTTTGAGCCAGGAGATGTTGCGCTATGCATGGTACACTGGGTATCAGCTGCTGGTCACCCATCATCCTCTCCAGTAAGGTTACCAATAGTAACAATTCATAGGAGTAATCAACAAGTATTCAGCAGCACTGATATCATTTCTAGAACTTCTTGATTAAGATTATCTCATTCTTTTTCATAAAGCATTGTCTATCCCCCAGCTTCTCTTATACCTGCCACAGATGAGATTTCAAACACTTATGTATGTGACAATAATACATGCAGTAAACTGACATGAAAAGATTTTAATTCTTTCGGAAGCTTCCTGAAGTCTGTAATTTAAGCAACAGAGAAACAATCTGACAGTCAAAGGCAATCACTTCTCCAATCAGTTGTTTTATTTACCAGGCTACTGGATGTGCAATTATTCCATCTGCATAAAGATTGCTTTAATTTTCAATTTACATATAGGACCGTAAAAGGTACAAGACTGACAGCACTGGAAATGGAAGGCCTCTAATTTATCCTAAAATGTATACCGCTTTTATCAAAGGTAAGAGTAATGCGAGGCCCCTCTTTCATGCTTGTATTGTGTCTCAGTTTTGGAAACAGAGAGCCCACCTTTAAGAGAGAAGAGTGTGCATTAAACTCTGAGTTAGTCTATGTAAAAATTAATAAAAATTCAAAGTGACTTGAAAAATCAAAGTTTTGCAAGTCTGTCTATGAATTTTTAAATACGTGTTTTCTGAAAGCAGCAGTTACTGAGGTAGCCAAATTACTCTAAGAAAACTGAGCTAACTTACCAGTGAAGCAGGGCAGGAACTGAGAAGGAAAAAGTAGGATCACCTTTGTGGAGAGTTAATTAACTGGAAAACGTTTGAAGTCCTCATCTATGCCTGTTTCTGAACACAATCATTTTCTATAAAAGAACAAAAAGCATGAACAGCAGGGCTGAGAGACAGACAAAATGGAGCGGACACTAAAAAGCAAAACTGACGAACAATACATGTCAAATGTCAGAATGGACTTGATGGGAGCTTCCATTTTAATCAAAGCAAGCTATTAACAAAGACACAGAAAAGTCAGATAATCTGAACTCTAAACTCCTCTGCAAAGCTTTTAAGCCGTACCAGTTCCTCAGGACTTGCACTGCATTGCGTTTTGACTGGGCACGCTGGCTAAGGTCACCCAGACGTCGTGAGAAATGGCTCGACCCTATTGTCAGTAACATACATATTCTATCTTTAATATACTCATTAGTACACTGTGGCATCTCTTGGGATTCCCAGTCCTAAGCCGAAACCCTACTGGGCTAAGCACTCTGTTAAGACTTGATAAAAAGCCAGTCCTTACTCCAGAGAAAGAAAAAACTGTGATTCTAAATCACATTCACGTATTTTAAGGCTAGAGAATACTATTTTGATGCATGTATTCCTTCCTCTGGCTTAATCTTTCCTGCATACTGTTAACTGAATTAGGATAAGCCTTTAGGTTTAAAATAGGGTTAGAGAAATGTTTTTTTTTTTAAGGGCTGTGATCCTTCCCAAGCACACAAAATTCTCCATCAGAATGGCACACTAAACAACAAACAGCTACAAAAAGAAAAAAAACACCAGAAATGTCTTTTCAGTGTGGCACTTGCGAATAGAAAAAGTAAATGCGTCTTTGTGCAGTCACTTTATCTAGGAAATTATCAATAGGGACTCATCTACAAGGCAAAAGAATATAACTGAAGGCCTAACCTTAAAAAACAGATACCAGCCATGAAAGCCAGTGGTAAATGGATAGGAATTAATAAAGTATGCAGCAGGTGGATGAAAGCTCAGGTAGTTTACAGCTACCTACTTAAATCTATCTCTAGAGGCTCTTTGAAACAGAAGCAGCAGAGATGTAACTGCCTTTCCTTTCCTTTCCTCTGCAATGCAAAGGTGAACTTTATGACTTTGAAAATCTGTTATATCGGAACAGGCCTAGAGTTCCTCAGGCCATCAGCTGAGGAGGGAGCGAATGCAGCATGCAGCAATCTTCCATACATTTAGGGGGTTTTACACTAACCATGCACTCTGCAACAGGGGTAACTTATGGGAGATGTAATGAACAGTAGTCTGCTTGCATATCATTGCTTGTTGGTTGCAGAGAAGGAGGTGTTTATGCTATTGTTTGTGAGTTGTATTTCAAGCGAGAAGATACTGTAATCCAGTGCTGATAAGATTTATAAATGTTAGTATCCTTATATCAAAGCCTAGGCAGCGATTTTCACAAACAGGATCATAAAGTAGGAGTCCTTAATTCACAGTTAGGCAAGGTATATAAAGGCTGATTTTCAAAAATTCTGAGTGCCTAATTCCCTCCAATAATGACTGGAAACATTAAACTAGGAGAGTTATCCTATTTTTTTTTTCCTCATCAGATGTTAAGCGCCTTTTATTTATTTATTTGCGTTTTCCCTAAGCAGCTCTCCAATACTCTCTTTGCTGCATCTAAGCTAAAGTGATTTTCATTAGTCATGCTTGATCTAAATCATTGATCTAAAAATACTCATACATTTAGTGCACATATACAATAGTTATAAACCAAGACTGATAAAATATCAGTATAACCCGAGAATTTTTTTTAGGTGTGAATAAGTACCATTATTGCCTTCTCATAAGGGGACACCCAGGCTTTCTATAGTTAAATGATTGGCCAAGATCTTGGAGGGAGCCTGTGACAGTGACAGAATGAAAACAATGTCTTTTGTGTTGCTGCAGCACACAGTCCTTCCAGATTCTTCATAAAGTTCCTGTTTTTTAACAAGAGATGATGTACTAAATCTTGCGTAGTGAAAAGAAAAAACAGAACAGAAAGGTGCTGAAGTCTGCAGTGTTCAGAACTCAAACACAGTTTTTGTAACTGAACCTCTTTTCTCAGGGTTAGTACCTCATCCAGCTGGGCTCGCTACTCTGCATTAATCACAGAGGAATACTCTGCTTTCATTCAATATGATATTTCCTTTGTGTATGACTTATTAGGGGGAAGCTGCAGCCTACAGCAAAAATAAAAACTCAGCTTCTACTAAGTGCTTTCCTTGAGCACTTGAGAAGTAGTAGTTTACAGCTTTTTAGGTATAAGTAGATCTGGCTTTAACTAAAGAATCAGAACACAAGAGTATCGGATCTCACTGCAGCGTACTGAGTGACACTGCTTGAGTCCTTGTTTCCCAGTACATTTCAATAACATACTAAGCATTTGCAAGATTCCGTCAAAACTAAAGCAAAATAGTAGTGGAAGGAGGAACCGAACCCTGACTGTTAGAAAGAACAAGTCAGAGTTTTTAACTGTGATGCCAGTTTCTGCCTAAATGCTGCTCGTGTTCACAGCTATTGGTACAGCTAAAATAAATGGCATAAAATGTTAGCAAATAACTTCGGAAGAACAAATTGTTCCAATTTAAAAAAAAAATAAAAGGCAAAGCATTGCATCCCAAAAAAATTTAATTTAGGCCATAAGATCAACCATGGGAAAAAAACTGCAGCAAAACTAGATAATAAAGTTGCTGTGATATATGAACTTATATTTTTACCATTTTATGAGAGGCTATTGAGAATTGTACAGAAAGCTAGTGAAAGAATTACTGTAAGTATTTGCAAAAACTACAGCACAAAGGAACAGTGAGAGTGACAGAGATAATATTATTTTACTTAGGTGTAAGGGTTAGAAAAACTAGCCTAGCTATCCTGCTGGTCAGGCCCTCCAAGCACGTTATGTTTGGTGAAGATATAAAGGGAGCTGATCACTCATTGTTGA